TCCAATTCATGAAACTGTTGATGTCTCCTTAACCCTTATGAGGATTCCAAAGAGAGAGCTGTCCCAAGCCAGGTCTCCAGTCACGACTGTAGAGTCCCCGAACTAAGATGTTACTTCTCAGCCCCCAAATTTAGCCCGCATATTTTGTACTTTGTCCATTCAGAACAAGGAGCCAAGAATGTTGAATCTTGTTTTTAGCTTACACTTCCACCAGTAAAACCATATTTTTTTTGTGTGTTTACTCAGTTTTACAGATGTTGATATAAGCTTTAGCTTTCCAGTATGAAAAGTGCTAGGTCAACTTTCAATACTCTTACTTCGCTTGCAGCCATTCTCTCTCATTTATCTTGTTAAAACCAGTGGGACCATGGATGTGAAAATGAACTACTTGAAAAGTAAAGAATCTAAATGCACAAGAAAATAATTTTTTTTCACACTAACAAGAAAATTATGATTGTTTGTTCAATCCTTTTCAACAAAAACATCTGAGGAAGTATAAGGATTTTCCTTCCTTTGGAAACTAGGCAGCTTTCTTTTTGAAGAATTTTACCAATGCAATTTGTGAAATTTAGTGAACGTATATGCTAAAAGACATTTTCTTAGGGTGAGAGGCATGCTGAAATATTTATCCAGGATATTTTAATATAGATTTTTAAAGTAATTGTTATGGAGTGAGAAGAAAATACCATGTATGTAGTCACAAAGAGTCTCTGTGTTTATTTTTACAAAGCCATTATATGTAATTATTCAGACTTGTTTCTGCCACTACCAAAACTATATTGAGCCATTCACAGCCACTGTAAAAGGAGTGGCCATGGGCCACTTGTTGAGACCAAGCAGCCTAGAAAGCTAATGAGACTAAGGACACTGTTGTTGGACCACATATATTCAAAGCAAACTTGGAATTGATTAAAGAAGTTCACTGTCCCTGTAAAATTAAGAGGGGCAAGGATAGACCTAGGAAAGCTTTTATGATATTGCACTGGAAATCTTAATGTTTTCTCATTGGCAAATGAATAGGGGGTTAGGTACAGGTTTTAGGGGTAAGTAAATTTCGTGCATGTTTTCCTGCATGGGCTACCTGTCCCTGGGTGAACCATGCATAGTATGTTACTATTCATGCCTTGCTAATTTTGGACATTAGCAATCCGTCTTTGTGCACTTATTTATTTTTCTCCATTTTGTCCACTTTGTAGTCTAATCCTTGAATTTTAATGGCTATATATAGGTATTAAGTCTGGTATAATAGGGACACTTAGTCAAAACTCTCAGCGTTGTCAGTTGAATGATCTGTAATACAATTTTGTCTATGCTAATGGACTGAGAAGGAAATATATGCATGAAAAATGCCCTTTATTTACCTTGATATGAAGCCCCAATGTTTCAAAGATAGACTGCTTAATAATAAGCAGCTGGAATAGTGGTCAAGACTGAGTTTCTGCCTTTCGGTGCTGGGCAGTAAGATTTTCTGGTTTAGTCATCTCTTCAAGTAAATACCTCTTCAATTTAAACCATTTTTGTATCTGACACAAAGATAAGGCAAAGAGGAAAGCTTAAGATGTAAAATAATCATACATGTTGTTCCTTAAGCAGTCAGATTTATGCCTAATTTTGTGCAATAAGATGTATTCAAATTTTATCGTTTGCCAGTTACTCAGGGATAGTCTGGAAATGCCACCATTGTGGTGGGGAAAAATCCTTGTTCAATATCCTTGTATATTCTGGTATAGGCATAAACAGTTCTACAATTATCCAGTATTAGTGTTTGAGTGGGAGAATACACTTGTAAATCTAGCAAAGGTATGGTGGGATCCTGAGCAATCTGTGCCAGATGGCACTTTGGATCAAACTGAGAAGAAACCCACTATGCAATGTTATCTGTAGTAAGCTATACTTATACCTAAGACACAAGTAAAATATGCTTCAGGTGGACATAATATTTTGATACTGACACCTTATTAATATGTCGATTTCTAATATCTTCTATTTCTTTACTATTGAATTAATCCTTATGTAGTTAAGATTAAAAATATGTAGGGTTTACTGTGACTGAATTTCACCTGTGTTGGATGAAGAAGTATGCTTTGTGTTAAAGCTTTTGTCCATATACTGATTGCTTGCTATTTACCTTATTATGAGATACTTTCTTTTGTTCCTGCCTTATATGGAAATCATTGAAATCAGTAAGATTAGCACATCTTTAAAAATGTACCTCTCAAAGGAACTATCATGTGTTGAAGATATTATTTCAGGTTTAGACTTAAAATGCCATCTTACAGAAGAAATGCATGAATTTTAAACATGAAAATTCAGGAATGTGTCAGTTGTCTAGTGTATTCTGTACCTACTGGATGAATTTAGACATCAGATTGTGTACAAATATGTTAAGTGGACATTAATATCAGTCATATTTTCTTGCCCGTTTTCTTATTATCAGAGAAAGTAATGCTGGCAAAAGTTGACTTGTGTGAAGGATTGTCATTAGTGCTGGTGGATTGCACAGCTGGAGTTTGCAAAATGAAAACGTTTTTGTTGATCTTGGCTAGGCAGTTTACTTGTCTTTACCTCTTCTTCCATGGTCATGGTTTTTTGAAATAGCATGAAAAATACCTTTAATAGCATCCTTTCTTTCCTATTTTCAAATCAAATGTACTGGAGCTTCCTTGTTCTGTGAAAGGTAGCATCATAAGACTTCTCAAGGATAGGATCTATTTCATTACTGAAAAAGAACCAGGTTCTTCTTTTCTGACCATGAATTTTTTTTTTTTTTTTTGTTCTATGGTAAAGCATGGTGGTACTTTTCCATTCTGGATTCCAGATTTTCTAGTGAACATACTGTATGCATTCAAGCAAGGGGATCAGCAAACATCTTGTGAAGATGATATACCTCTTCTCTGAGACAACACTCCATTATCTATGTGAGGTCAATATAGCCAGTTCATATGGTTGGAATAAAAAAGAAAGCTGCCAACGGTAGATACACAGGAGTAGAAATACCTATTCTGAATACATAGCTATAAAATTCCTTCTGTAGCCTTTTCAGTGTTTCATTTCAGCTACATTTTTATTTGCAGATTATTCACAAATTTATCTAGAATCATAGAATGCATGGGAATTGGTTTTGTTTCTTGTAGATAATTGTACATGCAGCTTATGAAGATTTTTCTAGCTGAGTTCTGCTATTATTAGATAAGGTATTTACAGGGGACTGGTCTGCAGTTTTTCCATTTGCCCATTTTATCCCTTGAATGCCTTTCAGTTTGTGCAGTTCTCCTTCTGAATCCTCAGCACTCTTCTTAAATATTTCTGATTTCAGAAAAAGATGGGGCTCAGAAAGTTATCCTTGCTGGGTTTCTCAGAATGACAATTCAGATCATACACTGCAAATATATTAGCTGCTTAGTGACCCCAATACTATAGCTGTAGGGCCAAACAGAACAAAAATATTAGAGATGCCTTTTATTCTTTTATTTTTATTCCATGTTTTAGTTACCCACAAAACTGACAACATAAAATACTCCATTATTTGGACAGATTCTCATTCTTGCAAAAGCTGTCATTCTGCCTCCCTTTCATAAGTGCACATCATTTGCATGGAGTTTAAACTTGTCTTAATTACAGACATTGCAGTTTTTTGAAAAGAAAAAGTCTTCTAAAACGTAAGTGTGGATATACTGCCTAATGGAGGCAGGACTTGGAGAGTCTAAGCTGTAAAGGAATGTTGAGCTGGACCATGTATACATCCAGACAAGTGAGAGGATAGGTTATCAGGAGGAAGAACATTCAGTCATTTCTACTTGCTCAAAAAATTAGCCTTATCTTCTTGTTTCCAGCCTAAACAATAGATGGAGTGTTCCTTCCTAAGAGCATGAAAAAACTCCTGCATTGAGTCTGATGGGTATAATTCATGTACTGTAAGAGGACATTGTTTTCTTGAGAACAAACTCCTTTAGAATTTCTGTTACTCTTGTACTATAGTCTTCAAAGGAGGAAATGCCATGTTTTATAGCATTAATTATTCATTGAGGAAACATATTATAGAAATTCAAGTTTAAAATTTGAAAAATAATAGAAGATGCTTTTAGTGGATAGATTAGAAGATATTGTTGTCCTTTGTGATTTTTGATTCTTTAATGGATACAAATGATTAGAATGAAAAATTCTACAATGTTTGATAGATGAAAAAATTAAGGTGAAGTTTTTGTTCCGTGTCACCTGTCTTTCTGTTTGTGCTTACAAAACCTCTGTCACTTCTAATGTGTTGATAAGGGTGCTGCCAGTGCTGGGATGCAATAGTGTCTTCTAGTTTCCTGTCTTAGTGAATAAATACATTTTCAACATCACTAGCAAATTCTGCCTCCTTCTCCAAGGGTAGTAATATTGTTGTGCTGTGCTGATCAAGCTACTGTGCTTGATGATGATTTGATGCCACCACCTTCTATGTAGTCAACAGCCCTTAGTTACCACACTTGCTCACTGTTAGTGTTGCTCCTTCTGTTATATTGCACAGCTAATCTGTTCAAGAGTGAAGCAAAGATATGTGTCTGATGTTGTCGCTGATAGTTAATGTTTTCTAGCCTATCTTTCTTCAGATCTTGTTTCACTTGGGACATTTCTCAGCACAAGTTTCTTCAGTACGCTACAAATGGGTATATTCAGCTCACAGAGTAGTAGGAATGTTATTGTTTGTGAGGAATGCTATTAATTTGGAGAGTCAGTTTTGATAGAACTGTTAATTCATCTCTTCTTAAATATATTGCCACTATTATTCTTAATGTTTAATTTTAAAGGAAATCTGGTTTATGGCATCAAATAGATATGATGGCATTTCTAGACATACCCTAAACAACTGCCCCCTTTCCCCCCTTTTTTTCTTGGAGGATATACGTAGGCTCATTAGTATGACAAACTAATAAATAATGTTCTTAACTCTTACCTGTTTTATATCCTTCTGGCATAAGAGATAGCCTGTGTTTTCATATCGTATTGTTTCTTTGCAGGAATCAGAGAGTAATAAGTTATGTTCCCTATATTCCTTCCGAAATACCTCTACCTCACCAAACAAGCCCGATGATGGAGGTCGTGACCGCAGTGAGCTAATGACCAGTGTTAATTTTGGAACGCCAGAACGCCGCAAAGGAAGCCTTGCAGATGTGGTGGACACACTGAAGCAGAAGAAACTAGAAGAAATGACCAGGACTGAGCAAGAAGGTTTGTGCTGGATAAGGCCAATACAGTTTGCCCACCCCCAAACCCTACAATTTTTATGGCATAAATAATGTGTTTGGTATCATGAGCCAGAAAATTGCATAATTGGCAAAGGCTAGGACAAAGTTATTCACAGAGTACCATGGCAGTGGTAGTTTGAGGTCCATTAGGGATTTTAGACAAATATGCCAGTTTTTTAAAACTTTCTAAATCGTGTTGGTTGTGTGCAAGTCAAAGCAATAATGTTGGTTTAGGTGAAAACTAAACTCTTGAAAGGTTATGATGAACTCTTAACTGGTTGTAAAATTGTGAGAGATATTCTTCAGTGCTGTTTGTTCTTTCAAAAGATGAATGTTTATTTTAAACAATAGGAATGAATATAACACGAGCTGGTTAGTTTTGCCTTAGAAATTCTCATCGTTCATCACCTTAATGACCCAACATCTGTGGCTAGGACAATGGGAAACACTTTCATTGTAAAAAGTACCTAGTTCTGACCTACATATGTTAAAAGAGATAAAAATGAGGACAAATCTTTGAGCTCTAAGGCAATTTATGTTTTCAGTCCTTATTCAGATATTTTCATCAACTTTGTTAAGATTTTAGTCTTGATAGGAACTAAACAGAGTTGCAGAACAAGTTTATCAGTATATATGTGCACAAGGTTAAGGTCCACCATAAAAATCTCTCCCCATGTCAAGTAGAATGAAGTCTTGTTGCTTTTGAAGCAACACCTTCTAGTCTGTGAGCTCATACATGAGTTTGTACCAGGGAAGATGTGAAAGCAGGAGGCTCTGAAATATATAAACACGTGTGGAGGCATCTGTGTGGATTCTCTCAGTTATTTTACCAGTATTATTTTGTGGCATTAAAAATAACCCAGGAAGTATATTTGTATCATAGTAGAACTGTAACACAGTAGAGCTTTGTGATTACTTCTTTCTTTGAAATATGGATGAGTGCAGAATGATTTTACCTCCTCAATTTCATGGTACAGTAACAGTCCACTTCAAGCGGTGCACTTTAGGATCCCTTGGCTCCGTGTAGCAATGTAGCCAAGGGATGAATTTCAGCTAAAATTGATGCTGATACAATAATATTCTTAAATATGTGATAAAATCATGTAGGGATGGAAGCAGGCTTTCAGATTTCTTGGCATAATTGTTAAATGCCAGCACATAGATAAATGTGTTCTATAGGTGTCCTTTCTGAAGCTGGTGAAACATCTCTAAAGAGAGAATGTCCCAGATTCTTTGCTACCATCTGTCTGTTTTCAGCTGTAAAGATCACTCTTTTAAAGATTGCTTTCTTAGATTTGGTGGTTAGACTAGGAAAACTATTTTAAATGTTACTTTGGCAAAGCTGATTTTTACAGTCAGTAACAGTCGTTTGACACTCCATGCTAATCAAAGGTCTTGGCTCATACTTTGCTGCGGGTAAAACTTAAACAGGGGAAGTTTAGGTTGGATATAAGAAGGAAATTCTTTCCTGTTAGGCACTGGAATAGGTTGTCCAGGGAGGTTGTGAATGCTCCATCCCTGGCAGTGTTCAAGGCCAGGTTGGACGAGGCCTTGGGTGATATGGTTTAGTGTGAGGTGTCCCTGCCCACGGCAGGGGGGTTGGAACTAGATGATCTTAAGGTCCTTTCCAGCCCTAACGGTTCTATGATTCTATGATTCTGTGATTATAGTGACACGACAGCTAAGACTTCTCCAGGAGTATACTGAATGGTGTGCTAATAGAAATGTGCATCAGAAAGTTTAAACATTGTGTCTTATTGCAAGCATTCAGGTGTTTCATAGATTATGTTCTGAATTGAATTATTATATTTATGAATTCTCAGTATTTTCTTCACTTCCTCTGTATTAGTATACACTGTTTGATTTAAGAGAGGTATGTGCCCAGCAGAGAGATCCCTCTCACTGCATCTGAGCCTTCCATGCTATGTGTTCTCACCAGGTGTGTAATAGAGGTAATTTCTGATCTATAAAATAATCTTGCCTTTTATGGTCTGTATTATAGTAGAAAAGTATTCTAAAGTCTACCTGTAAGTTCAAAGGTAATTGACTGTAGCTTCATGTTAAGTTCTTTTCAATTCATCCAGTATTTTCTGTAGGAAGAAAGGTCACTTCCATTTACAGAATCTAATTAGTGAACATCTGACTGGTATCATATAAACCAGCACAGAAAAATCATTAATAGAAAGATTGCAAATTCTTAAAGATGTTACACTTAGGAACTTCAGTGGTTTTAAACTTATGTATAGACTAGGAATACCAAAAATCTTATGACAGATTTGAACACCTATATCAGTATTCAGAGGTTTCTCTAAATTAAAAGGAAGTGAACTCTCCAGACTGGTTTGATTGGGTTAAAATAACATTTTTAAAATAATCACTATTTTAAGGCTTTGATTTTTGTTGTGACTGTGGGTACTGCAACTGCAACAGTGCAGAATCAGTTGGAGAAATGAGGTCTGAGATTATGCAAATGTTTTGCCATTTTATAGTCTCTTTTAAACAGCCTAATACAGGTTATTTTATACAAGGAAGCTCCATGACCATCAATGTATCTGTGGGGACTGGGCTAACATACAGTCATATGTCAAGTTAAGTGTAGAGTTAGAAGTGGAATAAAGAACCCAAGAATTCCAGTCATCTGCTCTAATACCCATGCAAGTACAGCAAGACTTTTTCAGTGTTATTATATAGTAAATTTCTAGTCCATCTATAGATTTGAGTAATACAAGTTGCTGATGTGAAATACTTAAATATTTTGGGTATACCTTCAGATATTAAGTGTCATGCTTCTGTATAGTAGTTGTGGTCTTTATTGTACCTCATAACATTGGAAATGAAATATATACTGAAAAGACTTTATCATGTCTAAATAAATGTATTTAATCAGAGTCCTTTGGCTTCTGAAAATAAGTTCTCTAATGAGAATTTCAACTCGGCAGCTGTGACTGAGGAGGTCAACAGGCATTGCCTAAGAGAATATGGCCCAGCTGGTTAAATCTGGTTGTTGTAGTGATTTAAATGGTCAAGTGCTGCCTGTAATCCAGGACCGTCTGTTTGTAAAGGAAAGAGTGAGTGTTTCAGCATAATGTACAGCTGTTTTAATCTCTCTTTAATAATAGTGCTTCAGCCAGTGTCATGTCTTGTGTATAATACCGGGCACATGAGCACCTCACACAGGACTGAATATACCTTAGGTATGTTTTTATCATTATTTGTACTTTGAACAAAGATTATCAAATCAAAGAATAAACAACATTATTTTACTTCATAGTCCAGTATTTGCATACTTCGTACAATAAGGCATTCCAGTGTCTTAATTTGTAGTGATTTGAAAATGAGAAATTTGATGAGAAAATTGTTACTTGGAGAAAAAAAAAGAAAAAAGAAAAAAGAATGCTACAAATATTTAGAGTTAATATGAGTATGTGAAGACTTTGCTGACGTGTTCTCGCAAGACAGAAGAGGTCAAAAATGAACAGGTGTCTAATTTAATCAACAACGCTAGACTCTAGGGCATCTTGGATAACTTCAATATATTCATCTTAGGTTTTTTTAGGAGCAGGATTGTTTTGGGGTGGTTTTTTTTTTTTTCCCTTTTTTTTTTCCTTTGGAAATATATTTCTGTTCATTCAACTATTAAATCTCTTTATAGTTCAAATGAAGAGTTTATGTTAGATAGAATGGTCAGACTGATTCTTTCCCCTTCTATCCCCCTTCAGTAAAAGACCCTTCTTTCTGAATATTGCTTATATTACTTTTTTGAGACAGATTTACATGGCCTGGGCTGACTGAATTCTAGGCTGAGAATTGGCTTCCAGACAAATATCCTACTGTACTTCATCATAAACCTCTATAAGCAATAATTAGTAGCATACATCTTGTCTGTAGCTAGGAGAGCAGATTTCCCCCTTTCAGATCTGGAATGCTGGGTTGGCAGGTCAGCTGGCACTTCTGAGCTGGAAACTGGGCATGTCATTTCTGCTGAGTGCTAAGCCCTCATTACTCAGGGCCTGGATTCCTAATTCACTTTTGACCTTGATTCTGAGCAGTGTATACAGTATCATTTTTCAGCCAAGCTCAGTTCGCAATTCTAGCACAAGCTTTTTATAAACTGCTTCCCATTCTTGTTTCCTCCTTGAAGACCATAGTTGAACATTGAGCAATCAAAGATTTTTAAGTATGCATTTTGGAATAATGAACATCTATGTAAAAAGTAGTATATTCAGGGATTTCCACCTATTCTCTGTCATTTGCACCTGTTAGTACCTTCTCTCTATGGATGGATATATGTAACTCATAGGGATACATAATACGTCTGAAGATATCTAAATCAAAAATTCAGAATTCACATGTATTATTCATTTGATATGCAATAGAAAAATCTTACTACAGTAGTCAGTAGTGGTGGATTTTCTGATTTTGAGTTTTGTTATTTTTTCTTCCAGCTTCATTAGTTAATAATTATTGAAGGCTTTCTTTTATATTGACTTAAAATAGATTAACTCTTCCCTTATAACATTTTCTATCATGCCAGTAAAAACCCAGGATAACAACCTTTGAGGTCAATACATTTCAGAAGTCCTCTTTTTTGGATCAGGTCTTGAACTACTGAACCTCTCGATGATTATTTTTGAATGTTTTTCAAAGGTTTTAGCGAGTTTAATTCAAGTTACCTATCTTGTGGTATGCTCTATACCCACAGTTTCCACTGGTGAAAGTAATCCCTGGTTGTCCTAATACACCTTGCATTTATAGACCCCTGTTCTTTATTCTACAGTTTTCTTAATGGCTGCAGATATTTTGTTCTGTTTCAAGGCATTAAAAATGTTACTGGGATTTGCTTTTAGGATAATCCCAACTAATTGTTAAAAATTAATTAACACCACTGTTTTATTTTTGTGACACCTATGGAATTCATAAAAGGTAACTGGTTCCTCTCAGCTAGAAACAAGCCCTTTGAATGTGAAAAAAACCCACCTTCTT